GGAAATTAACTTGGGCCTAGGATCTGGTTGCATAGATCCATAACAGGAAGAATTCAGAGCAGAGTAAATAAGATCCTTAGAAATACTAAAACAAATAGAGGTAAATAGAAATAGAAATCAAGAGAAGGGATAGGGGCTTCCTAACAGTCAGCATGAACCTGTAAGGAAATCTGAACTGGGGAACCTCTAAAAGGGAAGGAGTGGGTGTCCCAAAGGGAAGAAATGAAACTCGGGGTTTGGGAAAGTTATGGAGTTCTGGATGCATGTCTCAATATAGAGAGATACATAATGGGACAGATATGCACAGAGTGGAAGCATAAGGAATTTAGTCTGAAGGCATGACTAGGAAAAAGAATAAAATCCTGATTTTCAACATAAACAAGCCACAGCATAAAACTGGTACACCTAAAAATCAAAACTAGAAACACAGAGAGACATGGTTTGTCCTTTCCTGCAGGAACCTTTGGGAAATGGCATTACCTTTGAGGACAATTGTCTTCTTAGTCTTCCAGCTCAGTGCTGGATGACAGGAGCACTTCAGGCAAAGATGTGTAGGCAGCAATCCAAGCAACATTTAATGTGGATAAGCATTCGAAACTGAACTGTGGGCATAGCAATAAATTCCCCTCTAGGGACACACACACACATGCATGAGATTAGCAGAAGATTCATGGGAAAGGCTTTGATAGATTAAAAAAAATAAATCCTTCACTGAGACTACCAGCAGTCCTAACCTATATACTGGTGTAGATTTTCACAGCCGGTATCTTTTGGGGAGTGCTGGGTTTCAGGTTTAGTAATCGTGGTCTAGACAACAGATTTCCTGACCTTTCACCAACAACTGTGGCAAGCATCTTCAGATGCAAAGTGGTCAAATCAAATGAACAATCAGGACCAGGCACAAACAAAGAACGGATCAGAGACCAGCCCTCACCAACCTGCACCAATCAGAAGTCAGGACACCAGGCTATAAAGACAAGAGTCCAGTCAGTTCCTGCTCAGTTGCCTGTGTGTGCATAGCAGATCACTTTGCTTCTGAAGATGCCAGCCACAGTTGCCAGCAAAACATCAGGAAAACTGTTGTCTAGACCACCGTCACTAAACCGTGAAGGCCAACACTGCCCAACAGTCCTAACCTAGCTCTCTCTTTATATATGTCCTAAGATTTAAATCCTGAGTTTCTTTCACCTGCTCTTTTGTTGCAACAGGCTGCTTCCTACTCATTTCTCATGCTGGCCTGTTGATGGCATCTGGTCTGTTTTCGAAACTATCTAGTTTTCCATGTTGCCAGTTCCAGCCCTCACATTAAGTCCTATTGAACTCAATGGACAAATAAATATGCATACACGTTACTTCTGAGTAAATATATATCTTCTATAATATCACTTAGGGAGTTCTTAACTGAAAGTTGGCATATGCAAATTACTTGTTCTACCTCTCAGTTACAAATTCCAACAATTCTTCTGCATATTTAAGCTGTTGACTCTATAAATCCAGTTTTAGTACAAAGGATTGAAGTCGACAAAATCTAGGTAACATTCAGTTCTGCAATACTTGAATCCATTTGAACATTCTACAGCAGTGTTTCTCAGCCTCAGCAACTTTTAAGATTGTGGTCTTCAACTCCCAGAAGTCCCTATGCTATCTGGGGAATTCTGGGAGTTCATGTTCATACATCTTAAAGTTGCTGAGGTTGAGAAACTCTGTTCTATAGCACAAAAGAGTTATTTTCCACATTATACCAGCCCTTAGACCCTGGAAAAGAGAAAAAAACATTATGCAGAAGCTGATCTTCTTCTAGCTTAATTACTTCATGCAAAGCAACAAGATTCCATTCCTTTCTTGTGATCAGCTACTATGTGCAGTTAGAGCCCTATCATCCTGCTCAATAACAATCAGAAAATACTTTGTGCTTTTTTTTGCAATCACTCTGTACATAGATCAATTAATGGATACTATTAGCTGTTCACTGTTGTGTCTTCGTCAAAAACAAAAGAAAAGTATATTTTGCTGCAGAGTGATCAAGCTATTTCACTTAGTCGTACTATACAGAATGGATCCATAATGCACCTCCTATAGGGAACATGGCCTAAAATGAAATAGAAGGCTATATACTGTCAATTAGCAATTCATAAGACCAAATATTGTTAATTAGCGATTCACCAGTATATAGGTTATTTGTCCAAGTTAAACCAGTATAAACAGAAGACAAATACTGTAACTATTTACTAGCAGTTGAGAGAATGAAGATGAGCTGTCTTTCACTTCTACAAACCTAACTGAAGAAGAACATCAATAAATCATGTTTATTTACTTTCTTATGCTTAGAGAATATATATTGAAAATATCTTCAAAGATTACAGTGCCTAGGTTTCTGATTTCTAAGCAGAGCCTATAATTAAGTGAAATTGAAGCAAGCCAACCATTGATCTTGTTTCTGCATTATAAATCTAGAATGATATTGTCCAGAGATCTGAAACAAAAATATATGTAAATTAAATACTTTACACTTTTTAGATCATCCTATTTATGTTGAGGTGAGTCTCTGAAAATGCTACAAACCTCCCCTAGCAAACACAGAACAAATTGCATACTGATTTATATAGCATAAATGTTGGAACAATTCTTTGGTGTCACCCTATGAAGATAGTCAATACAACTAGTATTCCCAAATGAATGGATTTTTTTCTTCTTCTTGTCATCTACAGTATCTATTTGTGGGCAACAACAACACAATTCTAACTGTGAATTTGTTCATTAGTGAATTATGCACAGAAGTGTACTGGCAGGACAAGGCACAGGATATGTGCGATCCATACAATGTTTGAAATGGCTAATAAATGACAAGATGAGCATAAAACTGGTTGTTGTTGTTGTTGTTCAGTCATAAGTC